TGTGTGTGTGTGTGTGTGTGTGTGTGTGTGTGTGTGTGTGTGTGTGTGCAGCCAACTTTCGTGTGAGCATGTTGTTCCCTCGGCCCCCCCTGCTCTTCACAGGGTCTTTTTTTTGGCCTGTTTCGGGTCGGTCGACTGCACGGTGGGAACGAGCCTCTAGGGCCAAATAAGACCCCCCTTCAGGAAAAGAATAAAAAAACACTATGTTGGGCCGTTGCCCGGCCTGGCACGCCCGGGCCAGTTGGGCAGAGGGGGGGTCGCCCGGCAAAACCAGACGGGTCAAAAAAGAGGCAAGGATCCCCCCCCCCAAAACAAAGACTTCAGGCCAGGACTGTGCTTGGCCTAAGCAGTCAGAATCCAATCTTAACTTCGGTTTTGGTGATGGGTTATCCAGGGGGTATTGGGGGGTATAAACAGCGACTAAAGGGCTTAAAGCCTTAAAGGGTACATTTGGACTCATGTTTTCTCATTTATTTTTATCTTGAAATTAACAAGGAATTTCGAGGTGGCCCTCAGCCAAAAGTCGTTTGTATTGCAAATTTGCAATTTTACACAATTTTTTTTTTTCGGTGATTTTTTTTATTTTTCTATTTTTTTAAATATTATGCTGGGGATCACCCGGGACCCTGCCCGGGCCCTGCCCGGTCCTGGCCGGCCGGGAGGGTACCCGGGCGACCTTCACCCAGCCGGGCCGCCCGGGGACTAACACAGAAAAAACATTGAAAAGACAGTCCTTTTTTTTTCGTGTACTAGATGCCGGAGGTCATCGCCCCATGTTTTTTTGGGGGGGGTGGGGGCTAAAAACGCGTGAAAATTCTGTTCGCGGCTCAAGTACAAAGGAGCACAGCGCCCCGAATGAAAGATAAGAAATATGAAGAAATGTTTGGAGAAGTATTGAAAGGCATCACTGCCTCTTAAATTCTTTGTGGAGTCATGTCAGAGATTACACAGGTTGAATGAACATGGTATCTACTTAGCAGATCAATATGTGCTATGGAGTTTGGTTAGCAACTTAGCAGTGGTCCCACATAATTTTACACCATTCCGCACACCACAACAAGTCCATACTTCATGACATCGAATCGAGCTGCAAGCACGAGATGCAAACCAACACGTGGTGCCAATTGGGGGCAGTCATATTGTCTCTCTTTGACAGAACTGGATATCAAAGGGTGGAGGATATCCCTGACAACATCCTTGTCCCGTTCTTAGTCCAATCACATGAATTATCATAATCACTGCACAGCAGGCACACACACACACACACACACGCACGCACACACACACACACACACACACACACACACACACACACACACACA